TTTTTTTTTTTTTTTTGAACAACATAGAATATCATCAGGTTGGAATTTTAGTTTCCATGCATGAGATATTTTAGTGCAACATCAAAAAAGGCACTTCAATAAACCAGGAACAACCCACGCCCAAATTTAGGTAGCGTAGAACCAGACTTATGTATGCAGTTCTATAAAGCCAGTGTGAATAATTACATCTATGATTTCCACTCTTGCCCTAGTCCCCCTTCCAAACTTTTTCCCTAATCCAAGTCATGGACCCCTCACCAGAATAAAAATGATTAAATTTTCAAGATCTGTTTTCAAAATCTGGTTTGGCTGTAAAATATTGCAATTATCCCACATGTTTAACATAAGTGGAAAGGTGCTATTGTCAATATTAATACTGAAAACCGTTTTAGAAAAAATGCCCACATAATTATGATTCCACAGAGTCTTGGAAATTGATTACTATCCCAAATGAACAAAATAGCACAAATTAATGACAACACCACTGAAGTAAATTACTGTATACTTGTGCGTTTCAGAGACATACAAATGATGATAAACCCATCCAAAGCAATCTGCTGCAGCCCATTCATCTAGCCAATTCACAGTCACGAGAGCTAAGGTAAAACTTTCAAGCACACTATTGAGGGTGCTGTTTTAGACTCATTAAACCATAGATTTCCCTGTAGTTTCAAGCTACAGATAAAGCAAAGAACATTCACTGTAACCTGTAACACAGACAGAACCACTAAGTACTTGCATTTCAAACAAAATGTGTTCAAGAAGGCAGAAAAAACCATAATTAACATAAACCGCACATCCATTTGATTCAACAACCCAAACATAGTCAATTTGCCAAGAAAGCACCACAGATACAGAAGCAATAACAGAGAGTTAGGGCAAGACCTTGTCGAGTACAACCAAGCACACACACATCTCTTACCAACAGAACATCTTTTTCTATGCATTCCAAGATTTATTTATATCAAAATTTTAACTTGTAACATTGAGGGATTCGCTATTTAATTTACGAGCAAGTAACTTGCAAGCCCAATCAAACATTTACATATTATCTATTAGCACAAAACTGTGATCACCAGGAGGGGGTGTTTAAAAAACCAGTAAAACCTTCACCAATCCCAAATAACTCACACCATGAATTGCTTTAGTCCAGTTGTCTCACTTGAAGAGCCACCAAAGAATAGCCAAGCCATGCCAAAAGGGGAACAAAATTTTGGTCTGTTTCCATTGAAATACCGAAACTCCAATGTTTTCACTAAGATATTACAAAACAATTGAGTTGTTTCAAAATCTATTAGGAGAGGAAAATCTGCTAACCTAGGGCTGCATCAAAGCAGAGGTCAACTGTCCAAGTATCTCTCTGTGATATTTTGTAAAAGAAATATTCATACACATTAAAAAAAGAAATTAAAACCACCTATGATTTCGAGCAAGGGCCTTTACTTGCTGCCTTGGACTTCACATAAGTGACTGCAAACAATCAGGTAACAAAAACAACTGCTTAGTTTGAGTTTTATGCTAAATATTAATACATATAATTCATTTAAATATACAGTAGCATGGTTATAGATCATTTAAATGTACATACATCCGGTCTTGTGTATATACAAGTAAACATAGCTGCTTTTGAGACCCTTTGGACAATATAGTGTTTTCTTTTTCTTTTTCTATAGATATAGATGGATAAATTCATTAAACACATCAAAAAGGGGCACAACCTCTATAACTCTATATAAACTATAAGCCATCTACAAAAACTAACTCCCTTTAGGGGTGTGCATGGGTTGGGTTGAGAATAATATTCAAACCAAACCACCTTTGGTGGGTGGGATTTTTTTTAACCCATCAATCATCGAAATTGGCGGGTGTTTGACCATGCTGGTTGGTGGTTACCATTCAAACCTCAATACATCAATTAAAGATTCAAATTCTCACCCCTCAAACTCCCTTCTAAAGTCAACAAAAGCTAAAGAACTCACAAAAATTCGCCTTTCGCCTCAAGCCAAAAATTTAAACAATGTAGAAGAGTCAAGTCCATGTGTACTCTACATCATTAATGTTGTATTTGGTTGGGGGATTTGAGAATGAATTTAGAAAGGGAAATGGAAAAAGTAGGTGAAATGTGAATAAAATATACCAATATTTCACTTAGTTTCACATACCTTTTTCCTTTCCCTTTCCAAAACCTTCCCCAAATCTCCCAACCAAACATAGCGTAAAGGTAGGCTGTTTCATTCTCTCCATATGCACCACATTAAATTCAAAGACGCCACCGTTCAAGATATTTTTAACCCTTTAGATCGGTATCCTCCTTTCCAACTCTCATAATGAGAGCACTGAATCTAGCGTAACCCAAAAAACTCCAAAAAGAAAAAGTGAGACCCATGAATCTCATGGCCACTTCACAATGCAACAAAAGGTGATTGACAGACTAATTTGCCTTCCTCCCCATGCAGCACTAATTAGAAAGCATCTAACCCTCATCCCCAAATGATCCAAAGTCAATATGGAATCTAAGCCTGCAGTGCAGAACTAGAAGAAGAATAAGGCACCTTGGTAGGAAACCCAACTTACCAAATGCTTGTGATCTCATGGTGTTATCAAGGTCCTTACCCTAGCATTCCTGAGATTGCTCTCGCTTTATGCTACAATAAAAATAGTTGTGTTTGTTTTAATACATTATACATGTAAATTTTGAAATAAAATATATTTTAAGCCAAATATCTAAAAATTAATTAATTAATTCACAAAGTAGCAAAAAAAACTACAATATTACATTGATTTCACAACCAACAAAGGGGGCACAAAACAAGGAATTATAACCCTCCTTCCACCAAAGATCATTTCATTTATGTAGCACGTTAATTTTTTTCCACTTCCATGAGTGTCACGTGGCCATTCCAAACAGAGATGATGGACAATTCCTTTTCCTAGTAGAGATGCAAAATCACTCACTAAAAGAAATGGTAAGAAACTCTAGGCAAGCCGAAAGAAACAAACGTGATAGCAAAAATATGTTAATCTCAATAATATACCCCATATAATAATACAAACATTGTGCTAATGAGTTTCTAGTGGCTCACTAAGTAGCACCCAGCATATGGCATTTGTGTCTTTAGAATAATCAGCAGATGCATGAAACAGGCAACTGAATATTAAACTCCACATATGCAGAAACCTGACAGAATAATGCATTGAACTAGCCTCCCTATGTGTCTTTTGGGTAACATAAATGCTTCAGCAGATACTAGTTTTATGATTTGGTCACATTCCACCACCAGCAAAGGAAGCAATAGGAAATATTACTTTACCAAAATTTCCCCTATAATTGTCACAAGATTGTGGTTCAAACATAAATACAGAAAGAAAGTGTAAAGATTAAAATAAAACCAATGAGTGCAACACTAAAAATTTGTAATAGCATTCTTAAACAGAACCATCCAAAGCATTTAAGCCACTAAATGGGATTTCATTACCAGTCCTGAATGACCAATGACCTAAGAAGCACGAACACTTCTAAGAAAATAACGTGTCATATCCGACACCGTGTCTAACACCGACACGACACGACACGACACGACACTCGTTGGACACTTCTTAACACTTAAATTCACAAGAAACACATTATTTCAATAAAATAACTTGAGACCCAATGATAAAACAAAAACAATGTAATTTATACTTATTCTCCTCCTTCATACTTTAAAAAAATGCTTATCCTCGACTAAATATTCATATATATCACATATGACATATACTAATTTTTTATCTTTATGAGACATAATAATAATATATAAAATTATATATTTTGCACATGTTCCAACAGGTAGTGTCCTACATTATTTGAAAATTTATGTCGGCGATTCGGTGTTGTGTTCGTGCTTCTTATCCACTGACTGAAATAACAAGAAGCAGGACAGAGAAAATTAACTGTGGGGATGGGATAAAAAATAAAATAAAATAAAAAAACAAGAATTATGATCAAGGAGAAAGGCTACAAACCAGTGGCGTCAATTATCGTCCACTCCACATGAACTTAAAGCGATGACCTATAAAAATTGGGAGAGGAATAGATCAGAAGAGTCTTCCCCCTTCTCTTTCTTTGACAAGTAGAAAGCAAATAAGAAGGTAAAACTTGAACATGAATGAAGATTTTTAGTTGAAAAGGAACACAAATTTTTTGCGAATAATAAGAATGATGATGTTGAGAACTTGCAGGGATAAAATTTGTTATTTGACTTCTTTTTGGGCTTCAGTGTCTCCTGCATTCAAGGGGATTCCTTTGTTTTTTTTCTTTCCAGTACATGGAGAGAAGTATGTGATATGTAATTTTACTTCCTTTTTCCTTCTTCTTTTGGTGGACTTCTTGTCCTCCTTTAATCCTTTTGTTCTTTTATTTTAATCTTTATTAATATTCTTTGTTGTCAATCAAAAAATAAAATAAAATGAAGATAGACCATACTATGAGAATCAATTGTGTGCTTACCAGGATCGTTGACTCATAAAAGAACTTAGTTCAATGACCCTCGGCACCTGAAAAAAAATGATGGGTGTAAGATAAAAATAAAATAATAGCAACAGTGAATAGTCAACAGTTGGTGAGGGCCAAAGAGGATAATGAGATTTGATCATAAGCAACATTGAGAAAATCAAATATCAGGAACATTCTTCACCACAGCATACAAAGCCAAGAAAGGAAAGCGAAAAAAACCTCCAATCATTAGAGGAGGTGAAATCTTGAGGCATAAGATCAAAGCAACTTAAGAATTTAAGCTTATAAGTTTAATTTATAAAATTAATCCATTGCAAACCACGTGTTCTAAGGTTAATTAACATTTGGTGCACAAAGCAATATGTGAATGCTGAATAACAAGTTATGAAAAAACTCATTCGGCAATGAGAAGCAATTTTTAGCATTCAGCGTGGCTGTTTCTGGTCACAAAAATGCTTGCCTGCTACTCAAGAATTAATACAAATCATGCCATGATGAAATTGTCCATGTGATGACACAACAAAATTTTGTACTTCCAAGCAATAAATAAATGCTAGGAAAATGAAACCATCTCTTTGTAAACTCAAGTTTCCTGCTGTGTTATTACTCCACCCCCTACACACCACCATGCGCCAGACACACGTCTAGATGTGTCGTCTAGATGTGTTGTATTATTTTTGAGTTTTTTAGAATGCTGAAGAATATCTAGACACGTGTGTTCATTGTCTAGACGCATCTAGTGTTTGACAAAAGTTTGGGAAAAAATAAAATGGAGCCTAAAGATTAAAATTATCAAAGGATGGATTTATATATACTCAACCATTTTGTGGGCTTTTCGATGTCTGAAACCCTAGAACTTTACTTCCAATTTGGCTCATAAATAATTTTTCTTTCAAAAGCTATAGACACAAGTCAAAAGATATGCCACAATAAGAAGACACCGACACCACAATATTTTAAAAAGGACATGACAATAAATAAATATATTTTTTATACATATCTAACAAGCACGGACATGAACACACGACACAGACACAAGGATATGTGAATTTTAAAAAATGTAGAACACACAATATGTAGAAGACACGTGCAAAGCATATAATTTTATATAACTATTATATGTCATATTTTGTTAATATTATATATATATATATATATATTTTAACGTCAAATATTTATTCTCACCAAATTCATCAAGTTTAGGATGATATTCTGATGAAAAAAATTTATAAATTAAAAATGGGTCCCCAACATGGCCTAGCATCTCCCTAGCATATTTGATTCCTTCGAACCTGTCTGACATGTGTCTAGAGCATATTTGTATCTGACATGTGTCCGATACCGATACTTGAGCTCTGGAGAGGTGTTTGTGCTTCATAGATACATATACATGAAAATAATAATTGCAGAAGTATTACTTCACTTTCACATTGCAAACACATTAATATTTTATTCTATATTAGATGGACTCAAGTATGAGTATCAAGTGCAAATGCAGTAATCAACCGTTAAGTCAAACTAATGGAACTAGCAAAGTGTATGATATAAGCGCCAATTTTTTTTCCCATAAATACCTATATTAATCCTTATGAAATTAAAAATTTTATTTTCTTTTTTCTTTTTCTCGTGTCACATTCTTTATTTCCCGTTTTCTCTCAATTAGTAACACCACTTCACCCAACCATCATACCCGCCTCTCCCACCCTCGATTAGCACCACTGTCACCTGCTCCCACTCACAATCAGCACCACTATCATTATAGTCTACAAGCATTTTGATGTGTCACCAAATAGGGTTGGAGAATATTATAGTAATGTAAAGAGAGGAATTTGGAGGTGGGTGGACGAAAGTAAGGGTAGTATGATAATTTCATTTTGGTATTATAGAGAATTTGGGTAATTTTTTTTCCTATTTAGGACAGTTGTAGGAAAAATTTTAACAATGGGGTATTTCTAATTCCCAGAACATGAATTCATATTTTTGACCCTATTCTTAAATAAAAAGTTGTCAATTATGAATAAATATAGTTGAAATTAAACACGAATGAAGGAAAATATGGTACTTCTATCGTCATTCCAAGTGTCTAAATTGGGTATGGGTCGAGCACATATCACACACCTTATCGTTGTCATATACGGTGGACACAGGTATTTTGGGGAAAATAAAAGGGTCCATGTAACATAGATTTTATTATTATATAACATAAGCAAAAATGTTATGAGTCTTTTGAGCTTGTAACTCTGAACACAAATTTTCTAATTTTTTGAATTTCTAAAATAAATAAATACACGTCATTCAATCATTTGTTATTACATTTTAAATGTAATTAATAATTAATTATTTGGTTCAAACAGCAATAATCATCAAATCAATTCAATTTGGAAAGTAAATTAAACTTTGAATCTATACTATATATTAAGGAAAAGGGAATTTCTAACAAGGAGCATTGTGAGAGCTACAAAACCTCAAACTAAATTTCTTAATTTTTATTTTATTTTAAACAATTGAAAAAAATTTATTGGCCAACTCTTACTACATAATATAAGCAAAAACGTTATTGGGTGTTTGAGGTTGAAAGTCTCAATACAAATTTCTCAAACTATTGAATTTATAAATTATAAAAGGACACATGGCACGAAAGTATTGGTTTCTTATCAATATGGTGATATTTTTTCCTTCTAATCATGCCTATTTCAAAACATTTTACATAGAAACTAACACAAATTCTTTATGTTTCTAAAATGTAAAAATACATGTTATGTTGATTCTTCAATAAATAAATAAATAAATAAAGCAATATTTTAAAAAGAGTAAATTTGTGATAAATCCAATCTAAAGAGGTGTAAGACATTAGATCCAATAGATATTTTTTATTAGTGAGAGGTCCACCTTTTATGAAATGTTTGGTGAGAAGTCTTTTTGTTTCCAATTTTACCCCTTAATTTATTTGTTGACATTTTTTTATCTGTTGACTTTCGTTAACTATCTGTTCAATTTTTTTCCTATCTGTTCAAAAATTTTTACTTATCTATTCAAAATTTCGCCCATCTGTTAAATTTTTTTCTCTAGCTGTTCAAATTTTTACCTATCTGTTCAAAAAAATTCCCTTATTTCTTCAAAATTTTGTTATCTGTTAAAATTTCCCCTTACCAAGGCCATGATCTATTTAATTTTTTTTTAACTATCTATTGAAATATTTTTTTATCTATTGAATTTTTATAACTTAATTTTTCTATATGTTCAAATTTACATAAGTATCAAACTTTCTATCTACTCCTCTCTCCAATCTTCTCTCTTTATTTGATTCTCTCTATCTGTTGAAAAATCTATGTTGAAAATCTATCTGTTGATCCCCAACAGATCCAAATACAATCTAATATCCTCCGAGTGAAGATTCAGCTTCAATTGATGATGCTAATTGTCTAGTCGAAGGAGAGGCAAAGACCATTTCATTTTGATATTAAGAAACAGAGCCTTTAGAAGCAAATCCAAAGCAAGTAGTTTAAGGCCCATTACCTTTATCTATGCATACAAACAGATCTGTGTAGTGATCACAATCAGACACAAAATCAAATCTAAATTCATGCAACAACTAGATCAAAACATATTAAAAGACCTTGATTCGATAATCAATTGGATAAAGAGATAAAGAGTGAGTTAGTGAGTGTGTGTGTGTGTGTGTGTGTTTGTTTTGGAGAGAGAGTGTTATTCAAGCTCATGAACCAATATCCATTTCGTCTTCCTAGGTTTTAAGTTCTGCAAACACAAGTAGATCGGTCCACAGACCTCTACCTCTCATCCGTCGTCCCCGCCGCTGCTGTTAATACATTGTCGTTGTCGACGTTACTCAATTCTCCGTCGCCGATCTTAGTGTGCGATCTCAGATCTAAGAATGGAAGACCGCAATCTTAGAAAGAGTGGTCTTGTCTCAACTCACACCTGTGGCAACGATGGTAGCAGCAGTGATTGAGGCGACGGCGATGCCGTGTGTGAGGCGGATGAGTGAGTGAGAGAGAGAGAGAGAGGGAGAGAGAGAGAGAGAGAGTGTATTTGTGTGTGAGAGGGAGTGTTTAGGTTTGGACTCTATGTATGGTTTATATAAGCAAGGGTATGTTGGTCTTTTTACATAAGCTTGTCCTTATGGACAAAAAAAAAATTAACACTTGAACCTTTGAACCAAGAAAATTCAAAATTGGACTTCTCACCCAAGCACCCTTTTAAAAAATACCTATACGAAAAAAATAATTAAGTTTTTAAAATTATATACCTATGTCAAAAAATTAATATATTATCATTTTCATGATACCACAAATTTTACCACTAAATCATTGCATATTTTTTTCTATATTTTCATGAAACTGTAGGAATTGAAAAAAGATAATGCCAAAAAAATTAATATTCTTTTATTCTTCTTAAATAATACTAATTTTACAACAATATTTTACTTCTTCAAATTCTCGGTAGTGTACAATCTAAAATATTTAATTTCCTTCAAATTCAATATAAAAATTTAGGTTCTGTTTGGTAGAGCTTTTGAAGTTTAATTCTACTCCTTAGTTTGAGTGTGTTGTTTGGTTATAGCTTTAGAAAATTAATTCCACACCCACTTTTCAAAACACTTTTTAAAACACTTCAATATTATATGTCACATCACTAAATTCAAACTCTTTTCAAAATTCATAACCAAACAAATTTTTCACACTCAAATCATAATTTCAAAACTCACAAGCTCAAAATACAACTCTATTCTCAAATCATAATTCTAAAACTCTACCAAACGCAACCTTAGTTTTTTTTTAATAAATCAGTATAAAAATTTAGTTTAGCCATACTATCATCTAAGTTTTATTGGGTTGGGTTTCTCTCGACTTTAAATCTCCACTTGAGAGAATTTTAGGGTCCGTGGAACCCACCACAAACCCGTATTGATGATCCAAATAATTTATTTTGTAAGCCATCCGAATATAATATATATCATTCACAAAATAATATATATTATTCATAAAAAAAATTAACTCGATCCAATAATCGTAAATTTTAT